GAATGGATTTTGGATGGGGGAGTGGATGGTGCGTGGGTCGAGAGTGCATTGTGGGTGAAACTGATTTTGCATGCGGCGTGAACTGAGTTTGGATCGGGTTAGATTTGTGAAGGGAGTTTTATTTGGGTTTAGGAAGTTGGGGGGGTCGAGAGTGCATTGTGGGTGAAACTGATTTTGCATGCGGCGTGAACTGAGTTTGGATCGGGTTAGATTTGTGAAGGGAGTTTTATTTGGGTTTAGGAATTTGGGACTTGTGGAATTTGGGACTTGTGGGATTTGGGACTTGTGGGACTTGGGACTTGTGGAATTTGGGGCTTATGGAATTTGGAACTTGTGGAATTTGGGACTTGTGGAATTTGGGACTTGTGGAATTTGGGACTTGTGGAATTTGGGACTTGTGGGATTTGGGACTTGTGAGATTTGGAACTTGTGGAATTTGGGACTTGTAGAATTTGGGACTTGTGGAATTTGGGACATATGGAATTTGGGACTTGTGGAATTTGGCACGTATGGAATTTGGAACTTGTGGAATTTGGGAAATATGGAATTTGGAACTTGTGGAATTTGGGACTTGTGGGATTTGGGGCTTTTGGAATTTGGGGCTTATGGAATTTGGGACTTGTGGAATTTGGGACTTATGGAGTTTGGGACTTAAGAAATTCGAAAGATTGGAAAATTTGGGACTTACGGATTTTATGAACATTATCAAATTCGGGCCCAATTTGCATCCTGTAAAACTCTGCCTGAAATCTATTCCAGCTTCTTTACCTCCCTTTTTTAATTATTTCCACAAAGCGTAATATATTTAATTCCCAATGAAAGCAACGTTAAAACACAGTTGCATGTAAATGTACACGTCAGATTACCCGGACGATTTCCCATCGACGATCGAAGGATAATTCAAGTAACGATTGAATTGCTGGAAGTCGCGAGCCACGACGTAAGCGCGAAGAGACGATCAAGATTAAAAGAGCGGGACCAAGACAAAGCTCTCGGTTTGTAGACTCGTCGATCGCGATGAGATTTCATGCCGGTGCAACCGGTGGAAACGCGAAACCAGTATATATACCCGAGATACCTGCCGGATAGTTCGATGGACTTTAGATGCACTTGGCAGATGCACTTTGCCGATAATCGCCACCCCTGTAACGCCTTTCGAAACCGTTTGCCCTCGTGAAACTCGAACGTGTACGACCTCTAACTCGCCGCGATGAATAATCATGATCGTGCGCTCATTTTACTCGTGTCTCTGATATCTCGTGCAATAACGGCGGCAGAAAAATCATTCTTCGTTTTCTTTTTGGAAATGTGGACTCGATTTTGCTGGTAGATTATTCAATTTTTCCGAATCGCACTTAACGGGTGTCGATCATACGACTTTCATTATGTACATTATTAGGAGTCGTGCATTAAACGAGGGTACGTTAAATGGGCGTCCATTAAACTAGTCTTCACTTCGGGAGTGCATTAAGTAGATGTCCATTAGCGTCCATTAAACTGATGTTCGTTAAACTTCCTGTATTCACGGATACTGGTATAGAATATATTGATGTCGATTTAGCTAGTGTCCATTTAACTGGTGTCCAGTAAACTAGTGCCTATTTAACTACTGTTCAATTAACTAGTTTCTATTAAACTATTGTCCATTAGCAGTCTAGTGTCCATTAAACTAGCGGTCATTAAATCAGCAGCTATTAAACTAGTGGTCATTAAACTAGCCTCCACTAAACTAGTAGCTATTAAAGTAGCAACTATCAAAGAATCTACACGAAGTAAGCAAGAAGTTTCAAAGTGGAAAATTGAATTTCTTCGAATCGTTGATCACACGTTTAGATTCGTTGGCCAGCCACCAAGTTTCCCGATGCAACTTTCCCCGTTGTCGCGCAAATATTTCCATCGCCATTGTTTACGCGCACTCGGTTGCCTACTAGTTTTCTTAACCGGCTTATTTGCATTCCCGGAACCTGTGTATCAAGACATAATATGCAAATGCCTCGTCTCTCTCCGTATCCATCTTCGTAACCATCTATCCGTCCGGCGCCTCGTTTTCTTCTTATATATTCGACTATTTATTTCAATTTTCACTCTCCGTTTCCATTAATCTCTTCCGCTTTCTCTCTGTTGTTCTCGTGATCCGACCGTTTTATAATTTGCCGTTAGCGAAATGCATTGTTGGATTTGAGAATTTTCCGGGGCCTCATATTTGAAAAGATTTCCTGGGTCTCAAATTTTTGGGACTTCGAATGACATTTCAGAGGGATTGATTTACTAAAATTTAGAGGTTTCAGGGATTCAAGTTTTCGAGGTAAACTTGTAGTTCTCACATTTCAGAATTTCTAGGGCCCAAAATTACCAAAGTCTCGAGTTCTCAAGTATCCAAATTTCCAAGGTAAAATTCCTAAGTTTCAGAATTCCATAAGTCCCAAATTCCACGAGTCGCAAATTCTATGAGTTCCAAATTCCATAAGTCCCAAATTTCCAATTCCTCAAATACCATAAGTCCCAAATTTCCAATCCCCCAAATTCCATAGGTCCCAAATTCCACGAGTCGCAAATTCTATGAGTTCCAAATTCCATAAGTCCCAAATTTCCAAACCCCCAAATTCCACAAGTCTCAAATTTCCAACGCCCTAAATTCCATAAGTCCCAAATTCCACGAGTCGTAACTTGTAGTTCTCACATTTCAGAATTTCTAGGGCCCAAAATTACCAAAGTCTCGAGTTCTCAAGTATCCAAATTTCCAAGGTAAAATTCCTAAGTTTCAGAATTCCATAGGTCCCAAATTCCACGAGTCGCAAATTCTATGAGTTCCAATTTCCATAAGTCCCAAATTTCCAATCCCCGAAATTCCATAAGTCCCAAATTCCCAATCCCCAAATTCCATAGGTCCCAAATTCCACGAGTCGCAAATTCTATGAGTTCCAATTTCCATAAGTCCCAAATTTCCAATCCCCCAAATTCCACAAGTCCCAAATTTCCAATCCCCAAATTCCATAAGTCCCAAATTCCACGAGTCGCAAATTCTATGAGTCCCAATTTCCATAAGTCCCAAATTTCCAATCCCCCAAATTCCACAAGTCCCAAATTCCCAATCCCCCGAATTCCACAAGTCCCAAATTCCCAACGCTCCAAATTTCCAACGCCTCGAATTCCCAATATAATGCCCCCTAAAGTTCCCACCAAAATTCCCAAGTCCCAAAACGTAAAACTTCCCGAGTCCCAACGTCCCGAACCGAATAAAAAAATGCTAAAACTGTAAAGTTCCATAGCGCCCATAATGTATCCTCGACAACCGCATTATCGCAGGTAATGTAATTTGCAAAGCAAATTCTAACGATTCCGCGTGAGTTACATTCTATCTCGTCAACTGGAAATACATAATTGTCCCCCACCCGACCCAAGTATCGTTCCAGGTACGATTTATTTGTTCCTAACACACGCAAACACGTTAACGCGTTAATCGGCCCTCATTTGCCTTTTAAGCGTGTTTTCAAACGCGCTGAGGACAGGTGAGTCAGCGTTGCGCACCGAGAAAATTTATTAAGACTTGTAAGGTAAAACAGCTTAAAAATAGACGTCAATAACAATCCACTCGACTGTATAAAGATATCTCTGTAACGACAACTAAATGTTAATGCAGCCATTTCTTTTCAAGAGACTTTGGCCATTTTTTGCGGAGAAAAGTTTCTCAAGGATAATCTTTAAGTAGCGTGCGCAATTTACTTGATCGTTTTAAAATACGAACGAATTAACTTCTCAACGTTTCTGAATATTATCGGAGATAAGCTTCCGGGTTCTGATAATAGATAAATAACGATAGGCATTTTTAGCTCAGTATCACACATTGTAATCAGTTCAATCAACCTGAATTGAAATCAGAAAATATCCTTTTTACAAATAAATATAAGTTTGTCAATCAAAAGGTATCATAATGATAATTTAGGCAACGTTGTATGCAGAGTAATCGTGTTTACACGAGCAAATATCCACCTCGATGAATCGATAAATCTTTGTTTGACAGTGACATCTTTAAACCACCGCGTCTTTTTCTACTTACGATCGCATTAAATGCTTCGTGACTCGAAACGTTACGTCGTCATCGTGAAACGTTTATCGCGGGTCTTTTTTTCGTCGAGAGATAAACCGGAATCTCTGACTTGACGAAATCATTCTCTATCAGAAATATGGCAATGACCATATACTTAAATTTAGACGGTTTAAATACGAGCGAATTCGAGCTTGTATCACTACAGTGAATATAAAGACATTTTTTTTTGGATCGATGACATTTTAATTTACAGGAACATAGAGAACGCTAGCGACAAATTTAAAATAGATATATGTCTTACACGTGCTAGACACACGTCTCTATTCATAAATTATGTAGCATAGTTTTGAAAAAAATTTTGAAATTAAATATTTTTTTGTTATGTGGATGTACAAAAAGAAATTTGTATTTTTAAAATCACTGGCTGTTTGAAATTTGCTTGAAGAATACAGAAATTATTTTGGAAAGAGTTTAATGTGTAGTACTACGTAAATGACACTGAGGAGGTAATAGAAATATACCTAAACATATTTTGGTTAAAATTAAACTTGCTAATTTTTTGATAAAAAAATTCTGATTTAGAAATTTAAAATTTTATTAAAATGAAAATTTAGAACTTTATAGAAACTTAACGAATTGTAAATTGGTTTTACTAACTGTGTTACGTAAAACAACGCTTTCCGTCTGAAAAGTGCGACACCATAAACTACGGTCTCACGGAGCACACTCTCCCCACATTTTACGTCAAACGTCAAACAGCACGCGATTACAAACGAAAGTTCAACGAACTACAAAATTCGAGACATATATCTTCTCAATTAAAGATAATAACCCCCTTAATGAAAAGAACATGTAAACTAGTAAAGATATTTAAATTTGAATACGCAATTTTTTACCGCCATAAAACTACGGTCGCACGAAGTTATGATTGACAGTACTGAGCGTCACTCACCTCAATCAGCTGTATCCTCGAGAGAAACCGTCTTCACGTATCCCAGGCAAGCACACGCGACGAGTCTCGCATCGACGAACGATTTAATTCAAAAATCGTCTCGATTCCTCGCGCACGTAACCGCTCTTTTACATCGGGCGAAGTGAAGTTCGACTTTCGCGCGTTACACGATCGATTCACCGCATTTGCGACTGACAGTTCTCACTTCGATGTCCCGTGGATCGCGGCAGAAGCTCGATGACACGGTTTAATAAATCGGTATTCTTTTCTCGGGACGTATTATCATGCAAGTCAGGATGCTCAAGTTTGTTTTCAATTTACACGGTGCACTTCACGACTGAAGGGGTGCATTCATACCCCATGCTCACGTCTCGCGGTCCAAACAGAGACTGAAGCGCCTAGCTACTGTCCACCCGTATAAATGCTCCGCCGCAGCGTGAACGTAGTCGAGTCTCGCTGGGAGGGAACTGCGATATCTCGACTTCGCGCCAGACGTCACCACTGTACATTTAATTCACCAACAATGAATAAAAGGAATATAAACGTTAAATCTTTTATAATCAACTGAATTATTCATAACTGTACCAGGTATTGAAAAATAATTAGACACATGTGTCTTAACAAAGCACATTTGTTAAGATGACAATTCAGATTCTAACCTTTTTTAATACTTCATAACTACAAGCATAGTGTTCAAGATATTACAGATGTTCACTATTCTAACATATTATAAAGTATAAGTAAAAAAACAATCTCTAAATGTGGATTTCATGCTGTATTGAAAAATGTGTCAATGACAAGAGGACTAGAAATGAGTGGACTCAAAGTAATGAGGTAAGAAAATATTTACATTGTATAAGTATAAATCTGAAGGCAATAGCTAAACAATTAGAGAAATTTTAATCTTTAGAATGTATAACGAAAATTATTGCGCAGGTACTACTTCTATTGTATAATGGCGCGCGGTTTGAAAGTAGTCCCGCCGGCGCCATCTTGTTATGAGTGTCAAAGGCAACGAAATAGAAAATTGTTTCTATTTTTTAATAAAATAAGTAATTTCTGAGTGTTAGAGAGACAAAATAAGTATTCTACGATCATAATAGAAGTTGAATAATTGTATCAAGGTACAGTAAACAACGTTAGAATCGGTAATAGAGAAAATCTGACTATGAAGCTCTATAACCATCTGGCGGTAGAGTGCTATCGAAATGAATAGAATTAAATCTTTACCTTTTTTAGAGCACTTGACGTTGATGATCCCTGAGGACTTATAAAGCATTCCACAACGATAATAAACACCACAATCACGTTTTTAAAATACATTAAAAATAATAAAATTGAAGAGTACACTTTATCGACCTTGTAACACTGGCGTTCCTCAATGCACTAACAGAGGTCCTTCCACCACCTAGCAGCGTAACACTGAACTTCTACCCATAATTCAATGCATCACCACTAGATGTCATCGATGGTATTTTTGAAATTCTCTAAATATTTAAATTTCAAAACAAGTATTTATTCTTATGACAATATCAAATAATTATTTTACCTATAAAAATTACTAATTATTAATAATATTGCGTATCATTAATCGAACTTTTATTAATTAACAGAGACAGAAATGAACCAATCTTTGAAAAACCTGAGCGGTTTACATAATCCTTATGCAGTTAACATCTCAATCACCGAATTAAGAGCTGACTATACATGAAAGCATCAAGGCTATACTTTCTTTGTGTCCGTGTTCTCATTTCGACGAGCAGGTGCAAGGAACATATGGGGCGAAGTTATGGGGAATCGCTATGGAAACATGCACGATGCTTCGTATATTGAACGAACGTCACATTTTCAAGCTAAACGTGATATGTCAATGAGTGTTCATAATCAGAATTTGGATAGAAAGCATGACGCGTCGAAAAAAATGGCTTTCGTTGAAAGAGATCTTTATTTGAAGCCATTGTTGAGACTGAAGCAGCAAGAAGATGTCTTGGAGAAGGCACTTGCCGCTGCCGTTGAAAATATTAAATTAAATTCGAATTCGTGGCGGGATGTCGTTCGGGAGTACAAAGAAATGACAATGAAGAGGTAATTTTTATTAATATATATTTTCTTCGTCAAAATAATAATCTGTAAATAATCAATTTTTTTATTCATTAGACAAAATTTGTTCAATGCAATGTATAAAAGCATGGAGAACATCAGCACAGAAATGGAGTCCATTAAATACATCGCTACTCATCCTGAAGAGATAAAAAATCTAGGTAAATCTAACGTTCAATATGTCGAGTAGAACTCCATTTATAACGTAAAAACAACACTTCCACTTATGTTTATGTTTAGATGTAAATACATACAAACTAAAATTGATCAAACTTTCGCAAAAAATGCAGGATTTGAAGAAATCTTGCTGCGTACAGTCTCTGCTGGAGGAGCAGGCAGTTATCGAGTCTGAATTACGCGAATTTCAGCCGAACCTGCAAAAATACGAGAATATTCAGAAGAGTGTATCTCAATCTGCATTGTATGCAAGCAGAACGGAGAACAAAAAGGAAAACCAAGATTACAAGGACGTTCACGATTTTCATGCACTGGTTGCACTAACGGGTATTTAATTTACTGTTGCAAATAAAATGGGCAAACATTTCAAATGTTTTCACTTGAACAGGGCACACAGGAACCTGGAACATGGAGGACCATTTATTCTTCCTAAAAACGCGGAAAAAATGCGAGAACATTCCAGCTTTAGTTGCAGCTGTTCAAAAGAAATATCCAGATTTGTCCGCGGAGGCTGTAGTGAACCACGAATCATGGTACAAACAATACGAACATTTGCGCGAAAAGCAGAGAGCGGCGGTGAAAGAATGGCGGGAGCGAAAAGAGCAAGAGAAAATGAGAAACATCGAGCGAGTGGAAAAGAGCGTGGATTTTCACGAATTGGAGGATGTCGCTGACAAAGAGAAAATCGCTGTATCAAGAAAAGTAAAAAGCTGTCCGGTAGAAACTAGAAGAACAAACGGAAGCGCGGACTCAAACGCGAGCGAGAAGAAAGAATTGATTAGAAAATGGCGGATGGAGAGGGACAGCAAGCGTTCGATGGACGAGGAACAATTAAGAATGCAGGCGAAGCTGAAGCGGGAAATGGAAGAGAACAAGAGGCAGAAACGACGGGAGAAGATTCAGGAAGCATTGGAACAATATAGACGGAAGAAATTTCTTGAAGATTCAAGGGAAGAGGGGCAGCCGGAGAGGAAATACGATGCAACGTTGATTAAAGCGTTCAGGTAAACGATACACAAAATGTACAAAATCATTTGGTTTAAATAAGAATTTTTAGATGAGTGAAACTTTCAGGAAACAGGACGAAGAGTACACAAAGAAAAGAAAAGATTTAATCGAGCGTTTGAAAAAGCCGAGCAGAACCGTGGCAATAAAGAAGATGGAGCTGGTAGACGCAAGAACTTACTCTACGTTGTTGAACAGCACGAAGGTATGGAGGGAGAAGTGTAAGGCCATAAATTGGTCGAAACATTCCGACGATTTGCATTACATCAAAGACATGCCAAGGACGTAAGTAAGACCGTATAATATATTAAATCATCGTTTATTTATTTACACATGGATGGTATTACAGATGTATCCGATGGAGGAACGAAGAGTCGGAGGATTTAATGATCTAACCTTAAGAAAGTAAAATTTACAATAATTAATTGTACATTCCGTCATGGTAACTGCTCTGAGAAACGTACAAAATATAACCGGAGTTTAATTAAGAAACAAGTTAACTCCACAGTGTAGAAATGATAAAGTAACGATAATGATATGTCTTGCTACTCCTCCGCTAACTTCTACCTCTAATAAATTAATCAACCGCGAAACGGCGAAGCCTATAATAACAATATTATTACAGGTTCAATTAATAGCGTATTTATTCAATTCGTCGTGTCACAATGTATTTACAGTAGCTTGTACTTACTTCATGTTTGAAGACGAGTTCTTCAGAGTCGCTTCATCGCTACAGACGAACAAGAGATATTTTGCTATTAGTTTTGTACTTCGTTTCCAAAGCGACGTATCAAATATTCTCTACATTAATTAACAGTCTTCCAAGTGTTCGCGGGGATGAAATGAAACGAGAATCCGGACTGTTCATATTCCGATAGATTGCGTGCTCCACATTCTTAAGGTACATAATTTAAGGACTATTTAATTTACTAAGATACATAATTTGAGAATTATTTAATTTATTAAGGTACATCATTTGAGGACTATTTAATTTATTAAGGTACATAATTTAGGGATTATTTAATTCAAGGATAATTGCAGAATTTTGAAGATTGAAATATTTTAGAACTTAAAAGTTGAGGAGATTCAAGAATGTGATTTGGTAATTTTTCAGCACGCAATCTAACATTCACACCCTCCGACCACCTTATTTACAAACAAGCTCCCGAGAATCTTGGAGTCCGGAAATTCGTGCTTCGAAGAAGAGCCTCTTAGGACGCGTTTCTGAGGATTGAGGAACTTCGATTGACCTCAGCACAACACGACGCATCTTTGACCAAAGTCTTCTTCCGGCAACGGTGTGAAGGGCAATAGGAAAATGAACGAAACCGATTGATACATACTTATGTTTATTTTTTCTTTACGAACCGGTTTTTTTTTCTTCCGACGATGTACATAATAAGTTATGAGTAAAAAAAGCGAGCGTTGGCATTATCCAGGACGAATCGCGGCTCTGACAAAATGGACCACATTGATTCCCACCCTCGTGTTACCTGAGCGTGTCTCTACTCGGAAACCAAAAGAAAATTAACAGGAAGATGGCGAGGAACAACGGAAACCAAGGACGAAAGTTACAGAGACGATTTTGTTCCCCCCTCCCCTGAGACCATTTTTTAAATCGTGGATAACACCAATTCTCGAACGATTTACTCAAATATATAATATATACTTTCTATGAACCTTCTGTTCGTTAATTCGATATCCTTTTTTGTAGCCTTTTTTCTGTTCTTTGTCTCGTTAGATTAGCAAATACAAAAACATAGGTGATACAATATATATATCTATGTATATATATATATTTATATTTATATATAATATTATAATACAAATGTGCCTCGTACTGTGCTGAGTACGATCGATCGAGGATCGACAAGTGTCCTCTTTTTTTATCCGCCTGTTTTGCATTCACATTTGTCACGAACACGCTTTACCGAATTTCTTTAATCGTTAATATAAACGCCTATTAAGATCACGCGTTTCCCCCATTTTCTTCTCGAGCTATGTATACATATACACGCGCCATATATGTATACACGCAACATAAGAAATATAACCGTTTAGAATTTTACAATGTTACACCTCCTTTTTTTCCATTTTTTCCATTTTACGTTCACGTAACTAGCGAGTCTGAAACCCTAACGGTGAAAGCTTCGTTAGGCGAGATGAAGCTCGGGGTTTTCGGAGATTTTGAAGATTTGAAATATAGAAAGTTGGAAGCTTGAAAATTCGAAAGTCGGAGTTTGCGTATTTAAATATTTAAAAACGTGAAAATCACTTTCCTTAAACTACGTAGCCAGTCTATGTTTTCGAAGATTCACTCTCTAGTTACGTCAACGCGAGTTTCCTAGAAAGTTTATTACAACGAACAATAAAAGTGGTGAAACGGTTCCTTCACTCTCTTTATTTTAAACATTTAATCTCGCACCCTATTTCTCGCAGTCACACACTTTCAAACAATTCCTTCCACCTCCCCAATTTTTGTATATCTGCTTTTATAATAAATTATGTACACGCGAACATTTTGTACAGTTGCATCTCCTTCGACCCTAGATTCCTCTTTCAACCCCCGTTAACAGTTTAAACAACCCTCGATACGGTGTCTCACTCTTTTACGCCCTTGCAGGCGCAACAGGTGGTCCAATCTGGATTCTCTTTTTTTAACTGGGATTTCCAGGATCCATAGTCCGCGTTCGACTCGTGGAAAGGGTGCGTATTCGCTCGGTAGGGTTGCTACAAAGGATCCTCGTAAATTCGAGCGGCGGACCTTATAATTTCTACTAGCATTGCACAGTTCGGGGACGGTAAAGAAATGAAATGAAATTCGAGATTCTGGATCGCGAGTTCTTTCCTTCCGCGGTTTCAGGGAGATTCGAAGGATTTTCCAAGACTTTTCACGATGGGTGAGGAGGGTTCGCGGTGTTTTGCACGCAAGAAATGAGCACGAGTCGACGAAAGGAACCGGTTTCAAGTATGGGACTTAAAAAAAATTATCAATAAAGCTAACCTGTTTGCGATTAACAGAAATAAATATTAGCAATCCTATAGAGATTGCATTATCTTTGAAAAGATAAAACTATACCTAAGTTACGTCATAAATAGTCCCATACTTTACCCAGTATATTCACAAATTAAATAAAAAAAAGGCAAAGAAAAATTCCTGAGAATTTCGCGCCCATTCCTTGCGATCGCAGTTACATTCACACTTAAACACTAATCGAATGAATTCCAATTAATCTTTTTTCTGCCAGATTTATTGATGAGATATAGAAGATGAATGTACATCTGAGCCCCAATAAAGTGCTACTTTTAAATCGAGATTAAAACGAAAGAAGCGTATCACCTAATAGACATTGCTTGCGTGGCAACGTTAATCCATCATCGTTCTCTTCACTTTCGAACAGAAACATGTGTAAATGCAAAATCGCGTAGTAACCGGAAATATGTGATCGTTTTAGGTAACGTTCTCGCAGGACGAAAGAATTCTGATCCACTCGAAACCACGTGTCGCACTTCCGGTCTTGGGCACTGCCCAAACCATTTTGTTTCCTCCGTGACGATTACTCTCGCAATTTTGGAAATTTCCGATTTAACACGGTTAAAACGGGGAATCGATCGTTTTGCAAATATTGCAGGCAACTGGTCTTTTATAAATTTATAAAATTACTGCATGGTGGAAACTGCACCTGTCTTCATCGATTTTACAATGCGATCGCAGCTGCTCAAGTTTTATTTTGATGCAACGTAGGCTTTTTTGGTGATTTTAATAAATTAAAAATCTGACTCGAGGAAATTGAAAATTTAGAGATTTAGGAACTATAGGACTTGCAAATTTGAGGACTTGGATTTTGCCTTCAATTTTACCCTTAAAAAACTTAAATTGCATATACAAATTTTCTATCTAAGTCTAATAAGAATAGCGTACCCTTGAAACTTTACACAGCCAATTCTGGAAGTTTATAACACATTTCTGAAATAAACCTAGCTTTCCATCCACCCTCTAAATTTTGGAGTTCAGTATTCTGACAATTGGAAAATTAGAAAACTGGAATACCAAAAAATTAACAAAATTGTAAATTTGCAAGTATAAAAATTTGAATAACTTTCACAAGAACCTTAATTTCATAAAACTGCTATAACTTCTAGCTGTATAAAATTTGAACTAGCATTCTCGAGTACGCCATATAAATTCCTGAACGATCGACTCCGCTATGGTATCCTAATCACGGAGGAAACGAAAGGTTAATCAAAAGATTCGCTCTGACCTATCTTCTTTCATCCCCTCTCGTTTCGAGAGTATTACTACAATTCATATTTTTCGCTTTTTTTTTTGTTGTTGCTGTGTTCGTTTTACTCCTAAGCTTGTATAAAAACGATAGTTTTTTTCCAATACACCAAAGACGAGTGCATAAAGCAAACTATATTGGGACAACATGAATTCTGAATAAATACTTAATATTACAACAAAATCTTAAGTATTCTTCGATAATGTCACCGCTATATAGTTTGTAAGAAAATAAGATACTTTACTTGAAATTTGTATGTACAGATATTACAAACAACGTTTCATCATAATGCATAGGCAAATGTGTTTTCTTCTTTTTCTTTTTTTTTTGTTTGTTTCTTTACTTCCTTTACTACACACTTTTTCTTATTTATACATGCTGTGGAGCAAGTCTAACGGATCCGTCCTCTCTTAACCCCTCTCTATCTTTCCCCGCTTTCTATTTCGGTTACCTCTCGTCGTTTTCCCGAGCTCAAGAGTTCGATCCTCGAAACGAAAACGTACAATACATAGTAAACGCGTCGAACAGTTCATCCGTCCGCTCGTTTCACACACCGCACTCTCGAAAAGAAAACTAAACGTTTCGACGTTGCTCCGTTATTGTTCGATAGTATTTACAACAAACAGTTACCCGCGAAAATTCGTGCTCTCAAGGGAACCTGGTTCGAGGCGTCTCGACGCTCCTTCATGGGAGCGCGGTAATAAAGAAAAATAAGAGAACAGAACAGCGAAAGCAAAGATCGTAATCACGATCGAACCAAGTTCCACGCAAGGACCGAGAAATCTTTAGACGCGCATCCACCGCGTGTCCTAACCAACAAGATAAACCTAAAATCACCGCGGGGCGATCGATAATTATAATTCTCTCTTTCCCTCGCCACTCTCTCTCTTTCTCAGTACCCCTTTCATCGAGTCGACTCGCAGACACGCATACCTAAGGAGCACCACCGTCCTCTGTACATTAAGTTTCGTTCGCGTTCGCCTGCGGCCCTCGACGAGGTCCGTCGCGTTTTCGTAGCGTCCGGCACTGTCTCTCCCTCATCCACATCCCTCGCAAAGGAAACGAGTTACGCCTAGGCTCGCCGACGACACGCATGCACACCTCACCCTCCCGCACAGCGTATGTCTGTATGTATATGTACACAGGATGCGGACACACCACCGCACTCACACTAGAAAATCAGGGTCACTGTAGTCCTCGTCGCTGTCGCTGCTGTCGGAGATTCTTCTCCTCTTCTTCTTCTTGTGTTTTTTCACCTTCTCCGTTTTGTGCGCGCGGTGCTTGCGGTGCTCCTTCGCACTGTCCGAGTGCGCGTGTATCGTCAACTTAGGAACACGGGGTGTCGCCATTTGCGGGGCGCCCGTGTGCAGTGCCATGGCGGGCACAGCACCGGTGGCGGGTATCAAGTTTACCGAGTTGTTTGGATGCTCGATCGTCGAGTTCATGTTCGTCGGGTATTGATTCGGAACCGAGTTACTCGTTACGTTGGGCTCCGTCATTTTGCTGTCCATCTCGACGTGCGCCACCTTCTCCACCGGTTGTTGGTGCTTGCCACTCGTGTCCGCCTCGTTTCCGTCCTCGTCACCGTCCTCCAGGTCGAACTTCAGCATCAGCTGCTTGAAGTCCAAGTACTCCTTCACCAGCTTCTTCCTACCGTCCGCGTCCAGCTCCGCGTTGCTCACGCCCTCCTTCAGTCTCTGCAGGGTAGCCTTTGGTTTGAACAGCAGGTTGCTCTTGCGATTCACCGCCTTTTCGTACACCTTCGCGGACTCCGTGGGCGAGTACTGGCCGATTTTCTGGTCAGAGAAGCCGTAGAGGTCCTTCAGGTGTTGCCTGAGGTTCAGCAGCAAGAGGAACCCTTGGCTGGCGGTGATGTACTCCCTCAGCAACGTGGTGTCGTTCGGTAACCTCGTCAGCAACGTGTCCTCGTCCTCTTCGTCGTCTTCTTCGTCCTCTAAAACAGATAACAATTGTTCGGGCCGGGGCTGACCGTCCGGCCCTAACGTCGGTTGACTGTGATATTGTGGCTGGTGCTGCTGATGTTGCTGGTGCTGTTGCTGATGTTGCGGATGATGATGCTGGTGTTGATGCTGCTGGGAGGACGTCGAATGACCTTCCCTGGGTAACAACGCGTCCTTGAACGACTGTAACAGGTTCATGCCGGACATCGAGATGATGATGTCGATGTGGTGAATGATGAACAGTGGCTCGTCTTGAACTTGATATGTAAAGTAAGCGAGATTGTCCGCCAAGTACAGCATCTGGGATAAGCTCGTTTTCGCGGTCTCGTCGAACTGCTTCAAGAACGAGAGAACAATAGCCCTCCTCTGCTGCTTCGTGTTCCTCAGGATCGTGTACAGGAAACCGTTCAGCGCGCCTGGGAACTCGCCCTCCTTCACCCGCATACCCCTCACCGTCATGTCGTTCTGCAGAATTTTTTGCAGCCGGTAGCTCAGCTTGATGCCTAGCTGGGACTTCATGTGAATGAAGCCGGGGTACTTCTTCTCGATGTCCTGTAACTGCTTGTCGGCGCTGTGACTGACCGCCTTCTCGCAGTCCGTGCTCATGCAGATCAAGTAAGGGACTATTTGAACCGGGTGAACCAAACCTTGCGCCAGGATCAGCTGTATGACCTTCAGGGCGGCGTGTCGAACGCTTATGTTCGCGTGGAGGAAGGACTCGAGGATCTCCTTCACGTACAACTGGATGACGGTGCTCGCCATTCCTGAAGAGACGTCCCCCATCTCTTTGAGGTTCTCCTGCTTCGACATTTTCGCCCACTCCATGTCCTGCTTGATCATCCTTTTGTCCTCCTCCTGCAGATACACCTCGACATTGTTCAGCACCTGAATCCTCATGTGGACCAAAGCGTTCTCCGAAGTGAGCAGATGGTGGTACAGCTCTTTGAGCTCTGGTAGCAGCATGAACTCGTAGTGGCGTATGCACAGGGAGCCGATGGCGGACAGCGTGAAGTGTCGGATGTCGTCGTTGTCCAGATGCACGAAGTAGTTCAGGGTCTCGAACACTTGGTCCTTGATGTTGTCCGCCAGTCCCTCGATCACCTCCGGGTCGGTGAAGTTGAAATGTCGCAGCAGCAAGCCGACGGTAAACAACGCCCTCCTGACGAACGGTCTGTACTTTAAAAGCATAGGATTTGTAGGGTCTTTTTCGTAAAACGATTTGTACTCGGTCAAGTGACCGTAATATTTCTTAAAGCAGTCTCGAATTAACTTAAAATTTCTGGTCACGTTGTTAACTATGGATCCTAAACACGAGAGACAGCTGGCCACCACCGATCTGTCGTGCTGCAATATCAGCTTCACCGAATCTTCCTCGAGCTGCGCTAAAAAAGTTTCGCTCGGATGCTCCATCAGTGGTACGACCAGCTCGAGGGTGTGCGCCACGCTGCTGATGATCTGGTAATCTCCCTGCGTCTGACACTTTAAACTTAGGTAAGGCTGTAACGTGATCGCGTGATTGACTAGCAATTGCGGTCGTATCTTCGCGAATAGATACAAGGTTGTCAAGCAAGCGACCAGTCGTTGAGAAGATCCCTTCTTCTCCGACTTCTCGGACTCTTCCAGGTTGGTCTCTTCCAATCGAAGTACGTTCTCGATCAAACAATCCACGATTTGTTTGCACGCTGTCAACAACGCCTTCGGCGGTTCCATTAGCATCTTTGTACTATCTTCTTTATCCTCTTTAGGCTTGAACAAACTAACCAGCAGCTGTTCAAACCATTCAAGACCCATGTCTTTACTAGCTGCCACTACATCCGTGATGTTCATCACCTTTCTCAACAACGACTCAGAATCGAGAGTGGGACGTTCTCTAACCGGTGTGAACCACATGTTCTGAAACACCTCCATAACTAATTTCCTAATACCTTCCTCGTCGTTCACCCGTCTGATCATCTTCACGCAGATCTCTGGGATCTTAGGGAAGTCCGGGCACTCCATACAGATATCCTTTAAAATTTTGATCACGCGTTTCCGCACGCTCACGCCAGTATCTAGAATCCTGGCCGATAACATATCATAGTATTTATCTATTAATTCGGGCCTACTTAGTACGAATTTCCCTACCAAATCGACGGCTGCTTCGCGCACAGACGTCGCGTGATCTAAAAACGAATGTTTCACCCCCAACTGCATGTCTACTCGCGCCAGCACGCTTGGATCAGCTTCAACGATCATCGTCAAGCACTTCATGGCTTTTGTCCTGATCGCGATCGACGACTCCGTCAGGACATGAAGGATCTGCTTGAGATACCTGTCGAAACTTTGCGAGAATGGCCTCTTAGAGGCTAGATATTGCGATATAAGCTCCGCCGAATTGTAGTCGATGTAAGTCTGAAGAATATCCGGCTTCGTACCAGTGCTGTACGGCCTTATTCTACTTATAATGTACTTCTTTTTCTCCTCTATTATTCTGTAGGCTTCCGAGTACTTCTGCTCGTTATTTTCGTTCTCGTCCGGGTCCGGCTCGTCTATCTCCGACTCGGATTCTTGATCGCTCGAGTGATGCTTGTTTTTCTTTTTCACCCTCTTCTTGTGGATCTTTTTGCCCGGGCTGTTCTTCGTCTGACCCACCCTCGACTTCTCCACCGCACAGTCCCTGTACCACTGGGCCAAATAAAAATGACGAGCGTAGCCCAGAGCCGAATCCTTCGTGCCATTTACAGCCAGATAATCCAAAAGTACTTTCTGTAAAAAAACCGTCCTTTCCTCGTCCTCGCTCAAGCCCGGTATCTCCTTATCCTTCACCTGATCGTAGTCGGAATCTTTCTGCTGCTCGATCTTGATGTCCTTTATGATCTGATCGATCGTGGATAATTTGCATTGGGAGCTGACCGCGTCCTTTCTTAATCTGGCCGCGACAACGCCGAGGTAATCGATGGACGCCACCCTGAGGGCCATGTCGGAGCTCTTGTTGGAAAAATGACCCACCAGCAAATTCCCCAGCAGACTCAACAGCAACTCGGCCGCTGGCCATTCTGGCTTGTTAACGGTGGCCAGCAGATCTTGGACAAAATTTTCGAACAACGGCCTGTAATCGATCTCCTCCCCTTTACTGCCGCACTTGTTCAGGAACACGGTTAAAAAATTGCCAGCTATCCTCGTAGCCGTCTCGTACTTATTTATGATCAATACGTCCGCGTCAACGTGACTCGCCTTTTTCTCCTCTTTCTTCTCCTCCTCCTCCTGCGGCTTCTTTGGCTGGGGGAGTATATTGTCTGACAATACCACCACGCACTGGATCAGCTGCAACACCAAGGCTGTTAACATCTGTATATGATCTTCGGAATTTAACCTGTACGTTCTCAAGCTTCTTTTGCTGCTCGGAAGTCGTGCTATGGATGCCAAAATGTCGTCTAATAATAATCTCCTGTGTTTCTCGTACTTCGTGAATATAACTGTAACCAATTTCAAAGCGCTCAACTGAAGGTCGCTAACAGACTCAACGAAAAAAGGTGCAACGCCCAGCGTAGACGCGTGCAGGACACTCGTGTCCGTTAAAACCTGTATGTTCAGTAACTCGGCGAGAAGTCCGACCAACTCGTGCATCTTGTTATAAACCTGAAGGATACTTTTCTCGCGGACTTCCTTCATGTGACCCCGTTTCTTACGACCACTAGAATTATAACTGTCAGTCTTTTTTTTAGCATCTATCTTGTAAACAGGATCGAAAGAGGGATAAATAGTGTTCTGCAATTGAAATTTCATAAAAAGAACTATTCTGTCGATCACGTCCTCTAGGTAAACCATCTTCGGCATGTTGCTAGAGGTCATGATGTGCAACGCGATCAGAGACGCGTCTACCGCGCGTTGTACCCTTTCCATAGCTAACTGCATCCATAGCCGACTCTCCTCGACGTCGTCGTCCGGGTCAGCGAGCGGTGACACTTTCGCCCCGTCCCGAATATTTTTCTCCAATATGTTCAACAGTCTAACCAACCGATCCGCGGGAATGGATTCCATCGCACCTAGAGCTTTCAGCTTCGCCGCTTCGGTACATAAATCGTGTAACTGATACTTAGGAATTAACAATTCTGGAGGCACATCACCGTCGTCTTCCAATTCCGGGCTGGTTATAAAGTCTTCTGTGTTTTCAAATATCGTTTCGATAGTTGAATTGAAACGTTGATAGGTGTTGGTTTCCATCAGCTCTTCGACGCTGAGTTTAGCTAACACGGGGACGAGTTTCTTCTCTATTTTTCTGATTTTTGGTTTCGAAGGTGTAAGCAGCAGCTCTTTCTTATCCTCCTCTTCGTCGTCGTCTAGTACCCTCCTTCGCCTACGCGTCTTATCTTCGGCCTTTTTCCTTTCAGCTTTCTCCTTTTCCCTCTGGACTTGACGTTCTTTCGCCCGTGCTTTGAAATATTTGTTGTTCTTACCGATCTCCTCCTCGCTCTCCGATTCGGACTTCACCTCCTCTCGATTGGAAATCCCCATCTTCGCGGCCCGACTCGGAGATTTTTCGGCGAACGCGGCTAAACTCTTCTGCATCAGAGCTTGATCTGCTAGAGATAGTCTATCTAACATGACAACCGGTTCCTTTAATTTCTCCGGTACCGGACCGGGTAGCTTCACCGCTTTCTCTGAATTATTGTTCTGCTGATGTTGTATCGTCGGTGTTGGATTGGCGTTTAAAGTATTGACTATATCGCTGGAGTCCATGGTCGGATAAGACGTAGTCTGTGTCGTTGACATTAGATGCTGCGTCGTATTGTCCATATTTTGTTTCGCCTCGATGTTTTCGATTGGTATATCAATGTCGGGAAGACCTGTTACCGGATCGAGCAGAAACTGTTGGCTCTCCTGCACCGTACTACTTATGTCCATCGGTTGAGGAGTCCCTAATGGATGATGTACTTGTTGATTCATCAGAGGATCGAACATGTTTTGCTGAATATTAACGGGCTGGTGCTGTTGCAAAGGCATGTTAGCGCGCATAGGAGATGCTATATGCATATTGTGTTGAGGCGTCATACCAGCCATATTGTGGTGTTGAGGCGTTACGTTACCCAGAGACGTCAACGGCGTCCCAGGGGAACTCATGTGTGCTGGAGAATACATATTTGGCTGTGGAGTCATGTTGGGCAGAGGATTTATACCGGCTGGCGGAGGGAGTACGGTTCTGGCAGCGGCAGGATGAGCTGGACTACCTTGCGGCGTTTGTCTCGATCCCGAAGAACTCGAGTAAGATGGCGAGAACCGTCCATAGTTGGCGGATGTTTGGTTGCTGTGCATCGTACCTTGGGTCCAGTTTCGTGGCGAATTATATTGGGGGCCCTTAAACACGTGCGGATTTATTTGTAAAATCGCCTTAAGCAATTCCGGAGTATTTTGCTCAGTTTCTAAAGGCTGTTCAGTATTTGCGTAATTGTCTTTTAGTTCAATGTGATCGGATGACGTTTGCGATAATGATAATATTAACTGGGGCACTAAGTTCTCATTGCGAACACTCAGCAATATTTGTGCTTCCTCTGCTACTCGTGGATGAAACAGAAGCGACTTGTTAGTCAAAGTCTGCGGCAGCGGTGTTGGAAGGGGCATTTCAGGTAACAAGTCGGTGAGACTCGCGATACCAGCGAGAGTTGTGATTGGCACACTCGGTATAACCCCGTTCATCTTGAATTTGACTTGTTCTGGCATTACAGCCTGGACAAAAAATATTATTAAAATTAGGTCCAGTGTCCTTACGTATACTCTGAGGTTCATAGAATTATCCAACTTAACAAACACTGCACTGGCATGTTAGAAAAGTTTCGTTCACAGTATACGATAAACATAAATCAACAGAACATATCTAAATGCACTGTTTTCACAAATGTTTAAAGAAATCATTGTTAAAATCTTTCCACTCGCATATTCAAGACATTCCGACATAAGAAATATTCCACTGTCGAACAGAAGTATATCTAACGCTTATCAAAGAACACTAGCACTAAAGCATATACTGGGAACTTAACAAAGTCTCTTTTAAGTTCCCATGATGCACAAGACAGTATCAACCAAATTTTGATGAAGCACGTGGATCCTCCAATAAACGGTCCATTGTTAACAATAATTTCTTGTCCTGGAACAAACAACATATCGTATCAAGTACCATAATACTCATATTATCAGTCTCTTATATATTTAATGTATAAACATGAAGATCAATTAAAAATTTAGTATTTCAAGATATAAATTAAATAAATGGAAATGTCCACATGTTAAATAAATATTTATGCAAAATATGTACGCTTACAGATAACTTTGTTTTCAATAGATACTATTAAAAAAATGATTTCAAATTTACTGTTTGTGAAAAAAAAATTAAATTAATGGCATAAGAAATTGCATAAAAAATTTGTTTTATAATAATTGAAAAATATGCTTTAAATATGTAAGAAGACTTTAAAAAAAATTCCTTTATAAAGGTTAGAGTAACTCGATACAGTTCTTTTTGTGAATTTAAAAAAAAATTAAATAGTGCTATTCTATTTTTATTAAAAATATATTATTTGCCAATTATGCACCATTTGTATCATTATTTCATTCATGGTTGTTATAAAAATAATTATGTATTGCAGTATGATATATTATGTATGTGTACATATACTGTGAAACTATAACAGATACTATTTTATCAAATTAATATGATTATTTTAATATTTTTCATCAGTTTTATTGAAACCATACTAATAAAACCACACAGTAACAAGTTTGCATTAGATAATATCAAAAATTGAAGAAGAAATGAAACCAATGCTCAGCGTACACAATGTCTCGTAAAGTGTCATTGTTTGTTACGAACCATATTTTTCTCGATGATTCCAACTATTTATATCACTCACATTGATAGAATCCATTTTCAATTCCATATTACTATCACTAGGATCACATAAAGTTGTTATTATTACCTTCAGTCGACAAACAACTACCATCCAACATCATACATATGATAACATGGCCTCAGGAACGATGCTACGTACTGGAGATCTCCCAACTGAATGTAATTCTGTCAAATAATAGAATTGTCAGGGTCAGTGTTGCTAACAGCGTCGTTAGTATGTCATTTGACAGAAGAAAATAAACTTGAAAGTCAAAGTTTCGTGTCAATTGCCTTACCGAACTATGCAGAACGATTATTTATATTGCAGAATGCGAGCAGTGAATGGAATTTTGGCGGGAGGTGTATCATTATCCATGAAGCCCGTGCCGTTCAACGCGCATAAATCATCGATATTTACATGTCTAGGGAAAACAACGGGCCTTTCCGTCCGAATATGCTCGCAAAAGTTTTCGTCGAGAAAGATATTCGCTCAATTGTCATCCGTGGTTGTGGCCTATTTGGTTGGATACGTTTTCTCGTCGATCACCAGGGAATGCACTTAACTTCGTGGCACGGCACGATTTTCACTCACGTTTCTCACGGCACCGCGTAAACATCGCCATGTCAAAGGTAGTGCATCGCGGGGAAAACAGTATTTATAGTGTGAATACGAGGAAAACAGACACAAAGGCGTCCATTTTGCTCAGCAGCGAGTTAGCGGAAGTTGCGTAGTAGATACAGGCTAGATACAGGTATACCGGCGCTACGGCGTCTTATTTCAAATTACGATGAACGGTTCGCATGAAAGCGATACAGTTTGTAGACATTTTCTTAAAATTCATATGTGACAATACGGTCACACATCGACATGTGCCGTAACATATTTCCTATCATTACGCTTCGTTAATCAATAACAACGTTCAAAGAACATTGTGGATCATATTATGCAGTTGGAAAACATAATACGAGGCATCAATGTCTAATTACTTGTATGTTATATATTGAAATTGAATTGATAAATTTATAACTTTTAGAGAAATTAAATCTATACATACAGGTGTACATAGATATGATCGCATTAGTCGTTTTGTTTTTAATATAAGTATACAAAACTATAATTACGGTAATTTTTGTCACAAATTTTATCATAAACTTTCAGTACTACGTTTCAACATCATACTCGATGGTACAATAAAAATGCTCGTAGATGACGCCACCAGTACTATTTCATTGTGCAATCTTTCGGTAATTAACGATTAAAACGGTATTATCCAATTAATTGTCGTTTCAATTATCTCATTTAGTGCTGATATGTATTTATTGACTCAGTTCTTGTCTTCGCTTGGCTAATACTTCTGAACAGTAGTAAATATGTGTGGGGTACAGTAGCAAGCACAGTAGGCTCTCCTAGGGAAAATGGCGATGTGGGGACAACAATTGACCTACTCATTAGCTTTTAGATAATACAATCTCAAATTTATTAACATTTTAGTTTAAAAAATTTGAAATATTTAATAATTTACGACAATGGAAGTTTAGAAATTTGGAAATCTGAATATATATGTGATATAACTTTATATACTTCATGGCGGAACGTTTTCAAACGTCGTCGATAGATCGCGCTGTATTCGATATAATTTCGACTCGTGCTCGAATTCTCGAAGAAAAATAAAGTTTGGAGTACAATTTCAAAATGGCGCTACTGCTAAGTGTAAACACCCAGTTTTGATGTTGTTATTGTTCTCGACTGACTTCAACGAATTTTTTGTGTTTTACGGTGCGACGAAGAGAGTTTTATCTGAATATGTTTAGTGTATCTACGATCGCCCATTCCATACCAGGTAAGTCATGTAGGAGGGGAAAAAGAGAAGGTGTTTCGTTTGGGGGTCGTCTGACAGATTTGTCAATGGGGTTACGACAGACAGTCCTTTTCCTAGACGCTTAGAATGTCACCTTTCGGAACTTTTGTATATCCTAACTCACACTCGATGGACCGCTAACAAGATACAAAAGCTTACAAGACATCTAGCGACCGTCGTTCGAACCCATCGCGTCCAGGAGACATCTCACACTCCCCTCCTCTCAAACTAATACCGCGAACTAAGGAAACCTAAAAGGCTAACCACCTACAGTATCGATGTTTTTGGCATTGAAAGCGTTTTGTGATTACAGCCAATTAATATTCACACGAACATTGCACGGTTTATCTCTTTAGTTGTTTTTCTTCGTGCCTGATAATTTTTTTGAAATACGAATAATTTTTGAGCGGGCAGTTTTTGAACAAATTTTCGAGCTTCATTGTATCTATCTGTAAGTGGGACGCTTATCTACCATAAAATGTAAATAATTTTCTATATTGTTTAGTACGTTTAACATGCAAATTTGATGCTTTCATATAATGTAAAAACCTACTTTTCCACTTTAATGATTTTAAGTGTATGTAGAAAGTCACATATGATTCTCCAGTTTATGAAAGTTGTGTGTCTGTTAAATGTTTATAAATTTTTTTATGTTGTAATGTGTACTATGTTTGTGATGATGTAGTAAAGAACAGTTACATAAAAATTACATAAATTATACAATATTTCTTTTGGTTGATATTGAAGTATATGCTCCAATTAGTAACCAGTATTACAACAAATTTATTTCACTTTGTGTTAACATAATTGTGTCCAATGAAACAAACTGTGCAAATGTGTTAAAGTTATTCTGTATTGTCAAAGAAACTGTAAAGTTTACATAACACTTGTACCATGTGCCACAAGTTTTACTATTTGTAGTTGTTGCAGGGAGTGACCCGAGTAAAATGACGCAGAAGCGCAGTGCTGGGATGTCACATGTTGGGTAAGTTGTTGCTAAACATTATATCTTGTATGTCATTGTATTACATTTCTATACATATTTATGATGAGATTATGGATGTTTATGCATTTATAGTGAAGTGTACGCGATTGTGTTGCGTATGGACTATTGATTTGTATACTTTGTAGACTTTGATATTTTATGAATGCATAAACATTCATTGTGTATTTACTATATAGTAAGGTACACTTAATTTGACTTAAAATATGCACTTGACTTAAAGTACATATTATACGTTATAAGCATAGTATATATGTTCGATAAAAGAGATACAACAGGTACGTTTTTGTGGGAGAGAAACAATAACTTTGTATCATATAAATAAGATAATTGGTTGAGAAGTGTTTTAAAATATTCTTATATTAATAATTATATTATATTATATTATATTGATTGAAAATTATATTTAAATTGTGTAAGAGAATTGATACTCAAAAGTTTTAATGAAGTTTTAAAATAGGAACAATTCACATTTTGATCGAACAAATTCTTATCAGTCAAAATTTCACATATAATTTTAATGTTAACGAAATTTATTGTAAACTAAGTATCCAAAGTTGTTGAAACTCTAGTCCAAAAGTTATCAATTTAATTTGAACAGAATCAAATTGGTACATAACAAATAATAAAATTGAATACCATCAAAGGTAAGTTGAATATCATATTTCAATTTTATCTGTCCTTGTATTATAAATCATAAACATAAGAATAGTAAATTACAGTATAGTGATTCTTTTCTATATTGATAATGTCTCTTACATAAAATATGCATTATTTAATAGAGCAGCCATAACAATGATTCATTGTAATAAGCTACTTCCTCTGGTTACTCTCGTTAGTCTCTCTCCTTTTGTTTCGATAATTCGTTTCGTCATCTGTCTGATAGATAACGTAAACTTTAATCTGCCTTCATTAGCAGGGAATTACTGTTGCTCTTGAGGAACTTGAACAAATTTACCAGATTATGTACCCCATTCACAATCACTTCAGATTATTGTTCTGAAGTTAGAATTTTTGAAACTTTCAAATTTTTATTTTGTCAAATTTTTAGATTCTCAGATTACCAAGATTCTAAATTCCCAAATTCTTGAAGTTCCAAATTTCTAAATTCCCAAATTCCTGAAGTTCTAAGTGTTTTAATTCCCAAATTTTTGAAATTTCAAATGTTTTAATTCCCAAATTCTTGAAGTTCCAAATTTGTAAATTTGTAAATTTCTAAATCTTCAGTTCTCTAAATCCCCTTTCAACTTCCAAATTCCTAGATCTCCAAATTGTCTAAAACCATGTTCTTGTCTAGTAAGGGCCCTCGGTCCCAAAACTAAAGAATCAGACCCACACTGAACAAAAGTTCCAGTGACTGATGCTCTCTTCCAAAGTGTATCAAAGCATTTCTCCCCTATTTCACCCGAAAAGGCCGAACAATGAGACCCAATAGATGTATCCCCATGGGCCAGGTTGGCGAACCCGTGGTCAGGATCGTTTCGTCCTCGTGGTCGTGTTGGCGTGCACGAAACGAGGACGATGCATCCCGGTTAAAAGTCATGCTTTACACGGTGGCTGTGTTCTCCGGGCTCCTCTGGTGGGAGAAGTGATAGTCCTTAGCGGGGTATAGCACAGCGGCACATTATGCGGCTATGGTGGAATCAGTCACTGGCGAGTTGTGGGTGGTGACTAGTCGGCGACCCATCCCGTCCGATGAACGTGCTTCCGTGTTCTTTCATTTCGTTTCGACAGAATTAATTTCATCGATCCCCTATCGATTCCGTTCCCGGTGCACGTGGTACCGTTGCACCCTCCAATTCGTTCATTTTAACGATTGCGAAAATGTGAAACAATTTCGAAAATTGTGATTTATCTTTTTTTATTTGTGGGACTGTTGGACGTGTGGTGCTGAACTCGGAATTTTTCGGAAACTTGAACATGATGGGTTTGTGTGAAGAGGTGTTTTCTGGAATTTTAGTTTCGTGTTTGATCGTGAAAGTATAAAGTTCAACTTCCTGGAGCTCGAAGGATCACGATCGAGGGAACCTTGACCCACGTTTGCTTTGAAAATGTACCTTCAGATCGCGGGTCATCGTAGCTGATCAACTTTCCTCATATCCCAAAATCGGAGACTTGGACAGCTTTCAAAAATCGCAAACTTTGCAAAAGTATACATTCATAGAATATCTGAAACCAAGGATCATTTGATCAGACCACCTGTTCCTCAAGCAAGAATTACCACCAAATTTATAGCGAAGAGAATCTACAAGTTTAATAAACATCAAGATAGGAAAGGGTTGAAGTTAGAAGTCTCTGATCAGTTCAAGTATTAGGCAAGTTCCGTTTCTAATGGAGCTGCTAGGTGAAACTACGAGTGAAATAATGGGTGTCATTGAGGGGGCGATCGTTTAGATTAGTCAGTCTTATTAGGACGGTTCGCCGCGTGAAAGCGATCCATCCATACTTTCCAAAACGGCACCGAAAGTCGCCGACAATCGACGTCCATTCCGCGCAAAACTGCGACCAACTCTGAACCTTCCAGACCCTTTGATCCATCGCTCTGCCGGTACCTGAAGAAATGTGGTCTTTGAAGTGATACGTAAAGTTTGGATTTTCGTTAGTTTTAAAGACTGTTGGAATAGTTTGTGGACTTTGAGGAAAAGATTCTTTTATTACATCCACTGTGATGTAATTAATTTTACTGTGATGAAATTTAAGTGTATCTGTGAATTGTCTTGAAGACTTCAGCGACTGAAGTTTGCAGTAAAATTTGAACAAGGAACAATTTATTTTCAAGCTCTCACTATAAGGCCCTTCACTACTTACTCGAAAGAAAAGAGAAAAACATATTCCAAAGGCGTGGATAAATGTCTGAGCGTCCATAAATACTCGGATGCAAGAAAAATGGGTATATCTACGAGCAACGGGTCTGGAATACCTGGGTAGTGTCGTTGTGAACGGGGTGTAAAGTATCAAAGATTCGTCGGGCATAGATCTTTCCGTGAACCTCGGTAACAAGATGACGAGATAACCTGAGGGAAGGTGAACGAACGGTTCGAGCAAGAATCTTCGAACGTAAACTATGAAGATGTTCTCGAATTTAATAGCTGGAATCTCTCTCGTGTAATCATTCTCATAGGAACTATAGACTTGGACCTAGAAACTGTGGACTTGGATTACAGTCATAGAAACTGTGGACTTCGGTGGGTTTGAAATAAGGGAGTTATGCTGCAACTCAATTTGGAGATTGCTGGTGTAGAAGTTTTGATTGACTCCCTATTTCAAGGGAGGTTTGCATTTAAACACTATGGAATTGTAAATGTTTAGTCAACCCTTGATCGTGTGCTTATAAATAATTCCAACTAACCATGAAGATATAGCAGCTTGGACACATCGGTCATTCTCTTCAAAGTCACACCATGAAGATATAGCACTTTGGACACATCGGTCATTCTCTTCAAAGTCACACCATGAAGCAATCATAATCAGTGAAGTACCCTAAGTGAGATATGAACACTACCATAAATTGAACCCTAACTGAACCCTGAAGCAAACCATATTCAAGTTCAAAGATCTTCAAGATGAGATAATATTTTCCGTGAGAGACATTTTGTGGTGTAAAGGGGTTGAGATATAAAGTTTGCAACCGTCGGCAAAATAGAGTATCCGGGGGGTAGCGGTATGTACGGGGGTGGTTCGGGAAGCGGAGGGTATGCGGCACCGAAAGTCGCCGACAATCGACGTCCATTCCGCGCAAAACTGCGACCAACTCTGAACCTTCCAGACCCTTTGATCCATCGCTCTGCCGGTACCTGAAGAAATGTGGTCTTTGAAGTGATACGTAAAGTTTGGATTTTCGTTAGTTTTAAAGACTGTTGGAATAGTTTGTGGACTTTGAGGAAAAGATTCTTTTATTACATCCACTGTGATGTAATTAATTTTACTGTGATGAAATTTAAGTGTATCTGTGAATTGTCTTGAAGACTTCAGCGACTGAAGTTTGCAGTAAAATTTGAACAAGGAACAATTTATTTTCAAGCTCTCACTATAAGGCCCTTCACTACTTACTCGAAAGAAAAGAGAAAAACATATTCCAAAGGCGTGGATAAATGTCTGAGCGTCCATAAATACTCGGATGCAAGAAAAATGGGTATATCTACGAGCAACGGGTCTGGAATACCTGGGTAGTGTCGTTGTGAACGGGGTGTAAAGTATCAAAGATTCGTCGGGCATAGATCTTTCCGTGAACCTCGGTAACAAGATGACGAGATAACCTGAGGGAAGGTGAACGAACGGTTCGAGCAAGAATCTTCGAACGTAAACTATGAAGATGTTCTCGAATTTAATAGCTGGAATCTCTCTCGTGTAATCATTCTCATAGGAACTATAGACTTGGACCTAGAAACTGTGGACTTGGATTACAGTCATAGAAACTGTGGACTTCGGTGGGTTTGAAATAAGGGAGTTATGCTGCAACTCAATTTGGAGATTGCTGGTGTAGAAGTTTTGATTGACTCCCTATTTCAAGGGAGGTTTGCATTTAAACACTATGGAATTGTAAATGTTTAGTCAACCCTTGATCGTGTGCTTATAAATAATTCCAACTAACCATGAAGATATAGCAGCTTGGACACATCGGTCATTCTCTTCAAAGTCACACCATGAAGCAATCATAATCAGTGAAGTACCCTAAGTGAGATATGAACACTACCATAAATTGAACCCTAACTGAACCCTGAAGCAAACCATATTCAAGTTCAAAGATCTTCAAGATGAGATAATATTTTCCGTGAGAGACATTTTGTGGTGTAAAGGGGTTGAGATATAAAGTTTGCAACCGTCGGCAAAATAGAGTATCCGGGGGGTAGCGGTATGTACGGGGGTGGTTCGGGAAGCGGAGGGTATGGGGTCGGTTTGGGCCCGGGGGCGGGTCCTTCGCATTACATACCCTCCGCAACCTCAGTGGGCTATCAATTGGCCCCACCACCCCCTCCACCACCGCCGCCGAGTTGTCCGTCCGCCGGAAGTCAGCTTCTGTCTTACGGGCCCAATCTATCGCCCCATCACATGCAGCAGACCCATGCGGACGCCCAGCAATCCAAAAGGCGAAGGTAAATCTCTTTTTTACGAGGCGAGGATTTCTTGACCTGAGGTAACGGTACATGGGGGATGGAGGATTTTGGGACTTTGGAGAGATTGGACCACTGGGAAATTTAGTGTTACTCGACCATCTGTGTCTATTTTTTAGTGGGTACTTTGGAACTTGGAAATTTGAAAGAATCTTGCAATTTTATTTTTGAGGTTTGCACTCGAGGTTCTGGGGGTTTTATGAATTTAGGGATTGCAGCATTTTGGGACTTACATGTTTGGAAGTTTCGGAATTTTTACTCTTGGGATCTGTAAGAGATTTGTGACTCTTCAAGTTTGGGACTTTGAAATTTCTGAACTCTGGGACTTTGGGCTCTATAGACCTTACCCTACCCTACTTTGGGATATTAGTAGTTCAGATAGTTTTTAGATCTCTAAATTTTGAAGTTCAGTAATTTAAGGAATATGAAGTCTTCAAGAAATTGTAGAATTTTGAAATTTCTTCTTATTGAGATTGTGGTACATCAGAGTCCCAGAGTTGAATTTCCCGACGTCGAACTTCATGAAGTGGAAGTCTAAGACTTCGGGACTTCACAAAACTTGCATTGTAAGGGATTTTTCCTTTTCGGTGTAATCGATACGGAATAGTTATAATTAGCACAAGAAGATGGCCAAGTGAATTCTTGACCTATATGCTTATGAAGCTGCTTTGGTGAAGCTTGGTTCCTGATAAGAAAAAGATACGTCGTTAAGAATGAACAAAGTCCGTTAGGTTTAATAAAGAACAATGTTTCTAAGTAGAACGAGAAAATAGGTTTAATATTTACTCATCGACAGAGTCAGTAAATTAATTCATAATTGTGGATCATTGTGCTAGCATTAATCACGTGAATCATGTATGCATCTTTTCGAAATCGTGATTCACTTTGTGACTCGCTGTGAAACCCAATATTTTAATCGTGTTTGTCTCGTAAGTTAGAGCACTATGTATTAAAATTACATTAAATCGTATCTAGTGAAGATAATCGATCGAAAGATCAGATCTTTTTCAGATTGTAAATAGTACGTGATTGAAAATTATCCATGTATCGATCATCAAAATTATATCAGCTCGGAATTGACACATTCATAAAAATATGGAATTCTCCATTCCTCCCTAATTAAAATAATAATATCATTGCTTTCGACCAAGTAAAAGAGAGCTCAAGTAAGGAAAAAGTTGGAAATAAGTGATAAGTGTAAGCATTTGTGCGTCACAGAATATTCGCCGATAAAAACTAGCGCTAAAAACAGAGAATAAATCAGCTTCTCCAAAAGAAGGTCTTAATTGATAAAATGAACTTTGATATCGGTGGATGACGATGTAGAATGAGTTCTTCATGAAATCTATCACGTAGCCGCGTTATCAGCGCGACAAAAAAGATTTCGTGGTATCGTCAATAATAATAATAATTCGTCGTAGAATCAGACAGCGAACAACGATTGGTCGCTAAAGGAAAAAACGACGCTACCCTTGAATCGAGATAGTCCGATTATCGGTGAAACTCTCGTAAAAACTGCGTGAACTATCGTAAAACCGTTTTACCGCTACCGACATGGACGGGAACGCGAATATCACGAAGTCGATAACGAATTCAGGAATTCTAACACTTAACATGTTGCTGATGCAACCTTGTTGTTCTTTCGAATACTTTTGTAACTTCTAATTACCTTCTTTTGCTGTAGATAACGTTGATAACGCTGCGCTCAGATTTCTTAAAGAGAAATATGTTGAGTGTGAAGCGAATCGCTACGCATTTTATATTCTACATATTCGCCACAAGTTTTATATTCTACTTGCACTGCCACGCGTTGTATTACCGCGTTTCCCATATTTCTCGCGTTATATAGCCATGCGTTGTATTATCGCGCGTTTTATATTCCACTTGTTGCATCGCCATATGTTTCATATTCCATGCGTTGTATTGTCACAGGTTCTTTGTTCCTCGCACTATATTGCCGCGGATTCTATATTTCTCGCGTTATATCGCCACCCGTTATATTACCACGCATTTCACACTGTAGACATTGTATCACTACAGGTTTTATATTCCTTGCGTTGTATTACCACGTTTTCCATATTCCTCGCGTTATATTGCCATGCGTTATATTACCACGCGTTTCACACTCTATGAGTTGTATTCATAGGTTCTATATTCCACGCATTGCATTGACACAGGTTTTTACTCCTCGCATTATATTGCCGGCGATTCTGTATGTCTCGCGTTATATCGCCGTGCGTTATATTACCACACGATCCATATTCTACGTGTTGTATTACCACATGTTTCATATTCCATACATTAAATTACCAAGATTTTTACATTCCTCGCGTTATATCGCCGCGTATTGCATTTCCGCGTGTTTCGTACTCTGTGCGTTGTATTGCCATAGGTTTCATATTCCATGCATTGTATTGTCACAAGTTTTTTGTTCCTCGCACTATATTGCCGTGGATTTTATATTTCTCGCGTTATATCGCCGCGCGTTGTATTTTCGCATAATTCATATTCTACATGTTGTATTACCGCGTGTTTCATATTCCATACATTAGATTACCAAGATTTTTACATTCCTCGCGTTATATCGCCGCATGTTGTATTATCACACGTTTCATACTCTATTTTGTGTCACCAGTGTTTCATATACTATTTAACGTGTTACTAAGTCTCTGACATCCCTCGCGTTATATCGCCGTGTCCCGTCATCCCACTTGTTATATCGCCATTTACTGAAAATCAAATTTTAAATAAACCTTGCCATTAATATCACTCCAAATTTAACTAATCTAAAAATCTGTCGCTCCATATTCCAATATTTTCCCATCGAAACAAATGTGCAATTTAGCGAAAGGAAAAGAATGTATCATTTCGAAAGGTGTGTCCGTATATCATATCGAATTCATGTTAGAATGTTAAGAATGACTTGGCCGCTCGTGCATAGCTGTTATTACAAGATCGGCAACTTTTTCTCTGAAATACAAAACACGTCGACGGAACGGATTATAAATAATGTCACGTTTTGGCGGAAGTAAATTGCTTCATTATTGTACAATGCCTTGCGTAACGTCAAACGGGCCTCATTATATATACAAAAGGACTGAAGAACGAATATACGACTTCCTCATACTTCGCCTTCGCGAGATACTGGAGGGGGATTTTAATGTTTATTGCGTGACTGTTTTTCAATCGACACGTTCGTTGTCATCGCTGATCATCGTTTTTATTAAACCATCAATCTGTGGACGAATGAAATCGGAAAGAAAATACAACAGGTACTTTTTTCGCTTTCTTTGCTCGAGAAAAATTGCAAGAGGTCCTCGGGGAAATTCTTCGTGACATTCTTCCCTCTTTTAATTCATTTCGCTATTTTTATATTAAACATACCAGAGTAATCCCTTAGCAACGAATAAAGTGCCCGGCTACAACACGAAAGACGCTGCAATAAATAAATGTTTCTGAAGGAAAATAAACGAGAGAAATTCTGGCTCTTTACACAAACGCAGCATGTAAACGAGTTTCGGGTAAACAAACGTTTCAATGTTTTCCTCTTCAACGTTTTTAAGAACACGTTTTCTGGACAGAATCATCTGTTGCTTATTTCTTAATCTTTCGTATAACAGAACTTTTATTTCCGCGATTAACGGTGCCATCTTGATTTCGTCAAATCGTTTAAAAAATGGATGCATAACTATTTTCAGTTATCTGAGTTATTTTATCGAGTCTTTTTATCGAGTCCCTCGAAGGAATCCGCAGCTAGAAATCGTTCGATTTCTCGCGACAAAACGGGTCAAGTTTCGAACCGTAAAAATTCTTGCTGCCGCGAAAATGGCCCGTCGAAATGGTCGGCTGGCATTTCTACGATCGCGTAAAAACTCGATCTATCGAAAGGGCAACCGTGGCCGGTGGTATACAGCCGTGAAAGGGAGTTTTTTTTACTTTCCCCACCCTTGCTTCTGTTTCTTTTGTCAGCCTATTATCTTCGCCGGTTTATTCTCACTTTCGTCGAATCCGACCGAGTCACGCTCCATCGACCGCTTCTTCATCTTCTTCTTCGTCAACTCGGGACATTCTTACGGTTCCCCGCGGCACGAACGAATCACGCAGCCTCCACGATATAACGAACTCCTAGTTTACTCGTTTTTACCTGCTGATACCCTGTTTTGTTGGGGATGAAGAGATAATGCGATCGATTCGATTTCCACGGACTTCACCAGCGGTTTCTCTTCATCGGTCATGTAACGAGCTCTTTAATTATTTTTTTTTTGTTGACCGCAGGGATATTGTTTTTTAAGCATTTTAGAATCTGGGGATATTTAGATTGAATCTCAGGTGTAGGATAATCTATAGAATCTCTGATCTAGGAATGTGATATTGTAATTTAAGGATATTGGGTTCTAGGAATATTACAGTGTTGGGATTTAACTATTAGAACTAGGGATATGGGGATAATTGGATAGAACATAGACAGCTTGTAATATATCTAGGGATAAATCTGAGAACATTGTAATCTAGGTATATGTGAGACCTAGGACTATAATGGATATCTGAAAAGAATTTATTAATATAGGGATCTAGGGATATACAGGGTTTCTCACAACTAATGTATGTCACTGAAATGGTAGCTGACATAATTCTGAACGACTTTTTCCTTTGCGAAAATGGGATACGAAGCTTCGTTTTTGAGTTATTAAGAAAAAACGTGGAACCAATAAGAGCGTGAGGGTTGCGCATGCGTAGACGCGACAGCCTCGAACCTAGCGGCTGCGCATGCGCAGTCCTCGCGCTCCGATTGGTTCCGCGTTTTTCCTTAATAACTCAAAAACGAAGCTTCCTACCTCATTTTTGCAAAGGAAAATTTTGTTCAGAATCGCGTCAGCTACCCTCCATTGAACCCACACTAATTTTGAGACAAATGTAATGGTACTAAAATATAGAAACGTATAAAATATAGTAAAAATAGATATAAGAGTAAATACAATCGT